TAGCACATAGCAAGTACAGGAAAGTACCTGTACCATTTCTGAATGTAACTGACCTGCTCTTGGCATTCTGTCCCACCTCTCCAGGTGTAAGTATTGGCATTATGACGACAGACTGCTGACCTCCAGTGTGGTGATTGTCTTCCACAATGAAGGCTGGTCTACACTGATGAGAACCATCCACAGTGTCATCAAGAGGACTCCCAGAAGATACCTGGCTGAGATAGTCATGATAGACGACTACAGCAATAAAGGTGTGTTTGCTTTACAGTACAGGGTTGTAAAAGAATGTCATCTAAGATGCATTGTGATTATCTCTTCAACAATTCAGATTTCAGAGGGCTCCCTAAGGACCGATGTTTGTCTGAATAGCTGACTACTCACCTTTGTCACCATGGTGAAGTTGCATTTTGTAGCAAGGTTATAACTGATTGTGATGTTAATCAGCACAAGCTCTTCTGCTTGTTTGGACAGTGCAAAATCATGTGTTTGATTCTGTGCACTAAGAGGAAAGGTATGAATATGATCTTATTCTGCTGTTAAGTTAAATTCACACTTAATTGTTAGCTATGTTATTTTTGTAGTCCATATCTGTCCGGTGCTCCCATTCATGTCTGGAGTATGAAATTCACCGTCTTCTTATACCTCCAGTTTCTCACACTGATATGATAACTGATTTTTTTCAGTTAAAGCAGGGTCCATAGTAGAGCATGCTGCTGTATAGTTGAAGGAGACTGAACTGTCATGGATATATGAGATGTAGTGTAACACTCTCTGTGGTTATGATGGAGGGATGAGGAGAGATAATGCAACCTTTTGTAAACACTACAGCTGGAATTGCTTTAATTATTAATTAATTATATTATTATATTATTATTTTATTATTATATTTAATTTAGTTGTGTGTGTGTGTGTGTTGTGTGTGTGTCGTGTGTGTGTGTGTGTGTGTAGTCCATCTGAAGGAGCGTTTGGAGGACTACATAAAACAATGGAACGGTCTTGTAAAACTCTTCAGAAATGAGAAGAGAGAAGGATTGATCCAGGCCAGGAGTATTGGAGCCCAGAAGGCTACTAAAGGACAGGTATCATATGATCTTATTGCAACTGCTTCACTATGGCTGCTCCTAGTGTGTGAATATCAGTGGCTTTACCTTCAAAAGCTTTGAGTAGTTTCTAACTTTGTTATGATTTCTGGAAAAATACGTTGCTGTTGAGTTTTTCAAAAGGTTTCATTATATTGGAGAGAAGACAGATGTCTCAGAAATTCAGCAACTGACACCAAAACAATCTAGACAGATAAATAGCACAAAGTTTTTGTGTGCGTTTGTTTTTAAGGTGCTGATCTACCTGGATGCTCATTGTGAGGTTGGAATCAACTGGTATGCTCCTCTGGTTGCTCCTATTTCAAAAGACAGGTAACAAGCACACACGCACACATTCAGCCACATACATGTAATAATAGCTGTCAATGACATTTGAGTTTATGAAGGCCGGCCGTCATCTAACAGAGATCATTTACAGACTGGTTTATTATTCAATTTATTACATTACTGTTTGTTAAATTAACTTTCTTTTCAGCACATCCCTCTTTTTATACATTTGATACTTCTTGTGTTAGATGGTCTATGGTACTAATGCAGGCAAAATTATTCAGTGGCAGCTTAAATATTTTGTGCTACAAATTTCTGTATACAGTTTATAAGTTACCTATTGTGGATTCATGCAGGCATGCACATGGCAGTTTTTACACTTATCAGGGTTAGTGTGTCAAATAGTAAGTACTTAGATATTCAGGTTTGTGATCTAAACTAAAGGCTCACTGTGCAGCTTATTCAAAGACATGATAATCGCTATGTTAAATATAGCTTTTCTTTTCTGCCTTGATACGGTGATAGAGATTTGTGGGTCACTTGTATTTCACAGATGTCTACATCTCCATCAGTTGCTCCAGAGGTTTCACTCAGAGAAAGTTGGTATTCATTCTTATTACTGCATTAATTCTGCTTTTGCTCGCAGCTCTGAAACCTGAAACATCTACAGTGAGTCTACAGTGATTTTGGGCATACATGTTCAGTAACAGTATTTTAGTAGACTGGCAGGTTTGATGACACACACTAGAGATGGTTCTACTTTTTTTTTATTTTTATTAAAGTATTATTTTTTGGGGCTTTTAATGCCTTTATGATAGAGATAGACAGTAAATGGGAAAAGGGGAGGGGATGACACACAGCAAAGGGCCGCAGGTCGGATTCGAACCCTGCTGCAGCAAGGACTCAGCCTTAGTACATGGGTCGCCAGCTCTACCCACTGAGCTGACCGGGCGCCCCCACTACAACAGTGGTAGTGTACACACTTGAGTAGTGTAACTGCTGATACCAACAGACCCTTCCTAAGTCCCGCCCCTTTTTTGCTCTGTGCTCCAATAACAGTTGAGCAAGTTTCAGTCAGAACTTCTGTAAACTTTTCCATTTCCTGTTTTTGATATGTTATGCGACACTTCTATGTTGAAAAGACAACCACATTTTGAAGATAATTAAAACATATATGTATATAGCCTATGCCTAGTTTATCTATGAACTGTAGAAGCATCAGGAATAATCCCGTGATATGACGTGTAGCTGAATTTGCAGAGCATTTAACATCTCCTGCATAGCTTCTACAACGGGTTCCCCCATGTGTAAGCCACTGAACTGCTTAGCCCACAGCACTGTAAGAGTTAGTAATGGCACAAGATGCATATGTCTGAGCTCCATATATCAGCTGTGAAATTCACATCTGCAACATTTTCAACAGAGCATTGAAAGAAATTCACTTGTATGTAGTGTTCAACTAATCATCACAGCCCAATACAGACAAAGGTTTGTGTGCGTGTGTCTTTGTGCGTGTGTTTTTGTGTGTGTATGTGTGTGTAGGACAGTATGTACAGTACCACTGATAGACTATATAGACGGTAATGAGTACAGTATGGAGCCCCAGCAGGGCGGAGATGAGGACGGCCTGGCTAGAGGAGCATGGGATTGGAGCCTGCTCTGGAAGAGAGTACCACTTAGCCAGAGAGAGAAGGCCAAGAGAAAACATACCACCCAGCCCTACCGGTACACACGGCAACCAGCATGCTAACACTCATCCCTGTTCTGTTTGTGTCTCCATCTCCCATCCCTTCATCCCACCTGTCCTATCCTCCACCTTGTCTTGCACCGTCTTGGTCTCCGACACCCCACCCCACGTCTTTGTGTTTTCACTGGCATTGCTGTCCGTATTTGCCTGTTTTTTTTTTTTTTTCTTGTTTTTTTTTTCCCCTGCATGTACACCACCCCTACACTTCTTCCCCCCCATGTATCGTGTATGCATGGCCCCACCCTGTCAGAACCGTGTGTACGGTGCCTCTGATCGACTCCATCCACGGCCAGAAGTTCACCATCGAGCCCCAGGGTGGAGGAGACGAGGACGGCTTCGCTAGAGGAGCCTGGGATTGGAGCATGCTCTGGAAGAGAGTCCCTCTGGGAGACAGAGAAAAAAAACTCAGAAAAACTCGGACTGAGCCATATAGGTACAGAAAACCAATGCCTCCTGACTAATCTGGAAACAGAAGACAAACTAACCTGGACAAATGCTTACATTTCTGACATTTATTCTTCAACTAACTAAAAAAAAAAATGCAAATTTTAAACCAAGTGGACAGAAACTCATCCCAGCAGAACTACCTCGAAATAAATTAAATAAATAAACAATAAAAAACATAATTATATTAAGACCAGTGTGTCTAAGTACTAACAGCTGATCTTTAACTCCAACTCTTGAGATATTTACATTTGGAAAATTTTAAAGGTTACGTATGCAAATCTCACTACCACTAGATGTCACACTACAGCAACAGCATCTCAGACCAAAACAAATGGGACATGAACAAAATAAAACTCACCAAACCAGTATTTCTTTGTCTTTTCAACAATCACCAACACTGGTTTGGTCGAAATAAATCCCTAATTCACAGAGTTAGAAGAGAAATAGCTGCGGAACGGGTTGCTATAGTTGCCATGTATGTTATCTGATCCTTGGGGACAAAGGCGCCCATCAAAGTATGTCCACTGAAAGTTGTTTTTGCCACTGAAAGGCTTAGTTTGTTATTCTCAGTGTTTGACAACATGGAAAGGATCCCTACAGAGATAGACCTTTTGTTTAAGCAGAAACAGACAGAGAGGCTGCGATTGCAACACAGGCAGACAGAGTGTAATGTCATACTCTGCTCAGGACACCATGACTCCATTATATCTTTAAATAGCGAATTGTTGTTTACTGCTTTATTCATTTTTTAAAAATCTCATATACAGTGTGTAACCTTTTAAATATATCAAATTGAGTCTAACCCTTGCACATCACAACTAACCAACTAAATGAAAACTATCCCCTCCTTTGATGGGGAGTAGCTTACTACTGTCCTGTCCACTGACTGCCTCTGTCCTTTAATGTTTCTACTATTGGGAATTAATTGGTGTTTCACCACAATGTGTTGTGGGTCCTGGTTGTGTAATTTAGTGGGATTTACTCTTATACAACTTCTACTCTTAGTCTGACGTTCTGATATATTTGGCGTAATCAAGGCCAGTTTAGAAAGTAATTTCCTGTTTTTCTGTGAGCCTACCTTTTCTTTTCAGCTTACTTGAACTAAAGGGACGTGGGCTATGGCAGGGTAACAGCATTGTCTTCAGTGAGACATGCCTAGGTCCTAACCTAAAAGCCAATGGGAGAGATGAGTTTGTGTTGGGACATTTTGTCGGGTCTACAGGGGAGCTTCTGGTGTGAATCGGGTTCGGAATGGGGCACCATCACCACCCACCTTCCCCCAATCTCTTTTTCATTCATCATGTCTTGCTGTCATTCTTTTTTTTACAGCTTTGCTTTCACTAATTTTCATATTTTGCTGAGACTTTGTTTCTCTCAGACTGGTCTTATGTGCTCTGTGTTCTCACTGTTATTAATACGGTAACTGACTGCTTTAAGTAAAGGCGATAGAGATGCCAATGTTTAGACTGAAATGAACAGTTTTCATTTCTTTCATTTTCATTTCATTCGTATAACAGATACTTGGAAAATCTTTAATATGAAAAATAATCTTGAACTTCACAGTGACGCACCTGTTTGAGTAAGTGCCTGTATATCTGTTTCTGGATGTGTGTGTCTGTCTTCATACTTGTAGGTCTCCGGCCATGGCGGGTGGTCTCTTTGCTATAGAGAGAGACTTCTTCTTTGAGCTGGGTCTGTATGACCCAGGACTGCAGATATGGGGAGGAGAGAATTTTGAAATATCATACAAGGTAGACATTGAGTAGCCCCGTTTATACACAGTGAGGCTGCATGGCCCTACACACATCATTTAAAAAGGTTTAGAGTTGTATTCACCTTGGATTTTTCACATTTCTTTGTGTTTATGTAGATCTGGCAGTGTGGTGGCCAGCTGCTCTTTGTACCATGTTCTCGTGTGGGTCATATCTACAGACTTCAGGGATGGCAAGGCAACCCTCCGCCTGCGCATGTTGGATCATCACCCACTCTGAAGGTAGGAACAACTCACGCTTTGAAACACAAGGAGCCAGTCACAGCTAAAATTCACACAGTACACGCAAAGACAGACATACTCACATTCTTCTTTTATAAATACCAGTTTGTGTGTAGGAAATGGTGTATGCATCATTTCATCTGCACCCAGGTGTGCAGTTTCAGAGCCACTGTAGCAGTGTTTTTGAATTATTATGGAGTGTAACAACCTGCTAAATGTAATCAGTGCACATAAACTCTTAATGTTATAGCTCTGAATGCAAAACTTGTCATGTCATATGGCGCATTATACTTTTATGTGTGTACAGAACTATGTTCGTGTGGTGGAGGTATGGTGGGATGAATATAAGGACTACTTCTATGCCAGTCGTCCTGAAACTCTCACTTTAGCCTACGGAGACATCAGCGAACTTAAACGCTTCAGGTATAACACACAGACAACAGTATATTCTTGCTTTTGATTTATGACTTATAGATATTTCGACTTGTATTCTTTTATCTCACTTATTCACACTTTTCCACAATTATCGTTTTACACCCATTTAAAGGCCCTTGTCCACAGTGCGATTTTTAAGCTGTCATATCAGGAAATGTTTTATCTCTGCAATACAAGTACTGTAAGTGCACTGTACACAACAGGATGTTCACAGTGCCTTAAAATCCAATAATCTGAATTTTAGGCGTTAAAATGACTTTGACGGGTCTTATAAATTGACTAGATGTTGAATGCATATTTCAGTCTCACTTTTAAATTTGTTTTTGGTAAAAATTTGTAATTGCTGTAATTACAAAACAAAACGGACATGGAATCAATACTGATTTTCCTCTGTACTTTTTGCCAGAATGGACATTAAACGTGTTTTAAATGGCATTAATAAGGTCTTTAAAACGCTCTTTGTATGGAAAAAGAGTCCTTTGAAACTGATTGGTTAATTCTTGTCACATAAACTGTGGTGTGCTTGCTGCATTTAATTTAGAGATTTTTCCATAGCGGTGTGACATTTACCTGGTTTAACTTTGTTTTGTGGGGGATACACACAAAAATAAATCAGGAAATCAAGACTGTACGCTAGCAAGCTAGACAGAAAGCAAATTCACCACAATATACTTACTTGAGTGTTTTTTATTGCGATATGCGATAATATTATTCCATCCCTAGGTCTGAATGAATATATCATTAGCTGACAGTTAAACAGTGCATACACTGGTTGTAAATGAAATGTTGGCTCTTTGTTGTCTGAACTTTTTGTCAGAGAGGAACATCGATGCAAGAGCTTCAAGTGGTTCATGGAGGAGATAGCGTATGACATTCCACTGCACTACCCTCTGCCTCCTAAAAACGTAGAATGGGGGGAGGTAGGTACACACACACACACACACACACACACAGACAGTTAGTTAGTTCAGTTACTGTTTCTTGCATGGTTGTAAAATCCATTTTGTGTAACATTCTGTGCCATAAGATTGTGTGTGTGTGTGTATCCTGTGTGTGTAGATTCGCGGCTTTGAGACAAGTTACTGTATTGACAGTATGGGACACACCAATGGAGGCAATGTGGAAATAGGACCTTGCCACAGGATGGGGGGCAACCAGGTAATGAAACACTCAACGTCTTGTGTGGTGTGTTGCGCTGTCTACTGTAGCTCTGCGCAGTCCAGATAGAGATGGTCTGGATCTGTTTCAGTCTTTAAATAGGAGAGCAATATGTAGCCATGACGGTCAGTAAATAGCCCGCTTCTTAATCTGCCATGTTCAATAAGAAATGAGCTATTAGCAGTTTTCCTTCACTCAGAACGAATTCTTGTACAGGAGTTGTAGCTGTTGTATTTTTTCCAGATGTCCAACTACTGGTGTGCATTGCTGTGTTACAGCCTTTCTATTTTTTGATAACTCTGTTTCCCTCAGTGGAACAGACCACTGATAAGGTCACAGAATGGAAAGAATGCAGAGTTGTCCAGGTTGCCAGGGTCAAGTTTTGCCAGATGAGGGGTTTTAATGGCATCAGGACATCTACACATAACCATTTAACTAACCAATGGTCACATCACTCACATTAAAATGTTTGTGTGTCTGTAGTTGTTCCGTATAAATGAAGCCAACCAGTTGATGCAGTACGACCAGTGCTTGACCAGAGGAGGTGATAATTCAGCTGTCATCATCACTCACTGTGATCAGAACCAGCACACTGAGTGGAAGTACTTCAAGGTGAGACACACACACTTGCTCTGCTCACCAGTGTGTGGAAAATATTTGAATGAAGAATTCATCTACTCTCCCTGCTTCTCTCTCTTTCTGTCTGTCTATCCAGGATCTCCATCGGTTCACACATGTGCTAACAGGTAAATATCTGCACTACTTTAAGACAAACAACAGTTTTCGTATAGTTTCACAGTGATCCATCGCCATCACTGACAGTCGTCATTTTACCAGTAGAGGAAGATTGGGAAGCCTTCATTTCTATGAAGTTTCTACAGTTAGCCTAACCAGTCAGCCACTGGCAGTCACACTACTGCTTGTGTGGTCTGTAGTACTTATGGTTTGGTTTGTACAGTTAGAAGAGAAAAACCCTGACCTCTGATCAGACAGAACATGCAGCAGCCACTCAATAGCAGCACAGGCTGTGTAGTTAAACTAGAGCCAGTGTCAGCCAGTTAGAGCACAGACATGTCAAAGATATATTTGAGGACATTTAGTTGTGTTTACTGTTGTTGTTTTCTTGTTCAATATATATTTGTTGTAGTTTGTCATTGTTAATAAAACAAAATGTAAATACTATAGTAGTTATTATAGTAGCATAATAGTTTGCTGTTACATTTTGTGTGTAAGGTTGGGTTGTTTTTCTATGACTTGAGAGACCATGAAGGGGCTCATGGACACATTGTGTAATAGGACAGATTTAATTTGTTTGTTTGTTGTAGGTTCATTATAGTACTTTTCTTATGCAGTCACTACTAAGTTCAAGTCCACCACTGCTACAAGCACAGTATGTGTATCATCCAGTGAACCACAAGGAGGTATTGACCAGTTTTAACTGCTTCAAGTGTCATTAGTAACAGAACTGTTCACCTGTTCACTTCCAAGTGAACAGTTATGTTACTAGTGGCTGCCATCTAGTGGTTGCTGCATGTTCTGTCTGATCAGAGGTCAGGGATTTCCTCTTCTAACTGTACAAACCAAACCGTAAGTACTACAGACCACACAAGCAGTAGTGTGACTATCAGTGGCTTACTGGTTAGGCTAAATTGAAATATTCCACAGAATCCCTGGAACAAACACTAGTAGTAATGGCAATCTGTGTTTTCCTAACAGGGAAGTGCCTGGACCGCTCCGACCTGCTCCACAAAGTGTTCATATCGGACTGTGACACCAGTAAAACCACTCAGAAATGGGAGATGAACAACATAGTGGCTGTATGAAGACTGTGAGCTTGGAGGAAACATGGTGACTTTATCAGGACGTACATAATGATTAACACACGCCAAGAAATACATCCATACTATAAGTTTACAGATATATCAAGCTGATACTGTCAAGAGTCTTTGATATGAGCCAGTCAGTGTCAGTAAACCTCCAGAGTTGAAAGAGTATCAACTATTGACAGCTTCAACCCAAAACTGTTGGTATCAGCCAAAATAAGCCTCTGTCACACTCCATATGGTCATGTATTATAGACACATTGACACTCCAGATGGAGGCTGAAGCTACTGGTCCTCAGAACGAGCTGTTGGACAAACACTGAACTGGAAACATGTTGGGCTCCGTCTCTGTCCTTCATTGTGTTTACACGCCGTCTCTCTATCTGTTCTTTTGGGCTCTCAGGTCTTTTCTAAACCACTACACTGATTTATGAAATTAATCACATCAGCTCCAACTATTCAGCCATGCTCTTATTAGTCCTTTTCAATCAGCTGTTAGTTCTTTCACCAAAGAATAATTTTTTATCGGTGAAGGATTCAATCGCGTCATCATCATCATCATCATCATCATCATCATCATCAGTGTGTTGGACCAGGTGAAGTGTTTATACATGCACTGGCTGGCGTAATGCTCGCTTCTGTCTGCGAGTCGGGTTAAGATTCAGGCTAGAGTAGTGGATTAAAATGGGATATCAAAAAGAAAGTGCTATTGGACATATCAATGGAAGAACAATCAACATGTAGAAATTACCTGTTAGCACTTTCCTGCTTGGTTTGCGTCTCAAAGAGCTAAATGTCACCATGTCAGTCATCCTTTGTCTGGGGCCAGACACAAGGTGGAGAGACTGTCCTCAGTTCCCAGCGAGATGTAAGTAAACCTCCTGCAGGCACATGCTGAGTATGCTAAAAAAAGGACACAGACATATAGTATTGTGTTTGTGTTTTTTCTTTCACATTTGCACTCCAGTCTGTGAAAGGCATTTTTAGTACTCCCAATTAGAGGGCCACTTCTAGCTCGAAGCTAATGCAGTAATCTAACAGGCTAAATTAGGTTCCAGGATAAGCTAAATTCAATTAAACACACTGTATCAGGACAAAAAAGGAAAAATGAAAATAAATCATGCGACGCTTGTGTCCTCTTGTATAAAGCTTCATACAGCCAGCGTTTCTCATTCCCATTGTGCCATGTCTGAAACCAGCCCTCCTAGAAAATGCTTTCAAATGCACAACAGCATAAAGAAAACTACCTTTATTTTCTTAACTTTGATTAGTTTCCAGTTACTTCTATTGACTACCGTCTGCTTGAATTAATTTCCATCAATTTGAGCAGACACTGGGATGCTTTATAGGAGCTTAAATGTGTTAAGGAGAGCACATCTTTAAAAACAATGACCTGACTGACTGACTGCCTTTCTGACAGTCTTGATGAGTAATTTAGTAGCTGACCAGTTGACTGTGATTTAGCAACTGCCTGTCTGAAAATTTAAAAAAAACCACTGGGTTGTTGGATGATACCTGTGAGAAATACATAACTGATGGTGAGGGGAACAACAAATGAAGACAATGTGACTGCTTTTTTGTTTGTTTTTGCAAGGGGAAGAGGGTTTGGTGTACGGATGATCATGTATGCAATGTTTTGTACAATGTAAATAGATTTCTTTGTAAAGACGATCATGACGCATTTTGTGAAGGGCCTTGAATGATGTTGTAAATATCTAACTTATAGCAGAGATTTAATATGGGCTGAGCAATGGGTGATTGAGCAAATAAAAGACTTTTTACTACTATCACCGTCTTCTCTGTCATTGTGATTTCAGGGAAATAAATGACTACACTTTGAGAGAGGATGCTGCAGTTCCGCCCAGAAAAACTTAATCTGAATCATAAAAAGTGTTACTCCTTGTGATATCTAACTAAGTAACAGGACATGTACTACTCTACTTCTACAGTTATAAGCTTATGAGAGAAGTGAAATTGTCAAAGTAAAATAAGTCTACCTTTGATTTCTAGTTGTATTTCACTCCTGAAATTTCTCAACAAAAACAGTAGTGACCTAACTTTTTAATTGCGATTATTTCTACATTTCTTTACACTGTCCCAGAGGTATGGACATGGCAAGACTTGCAACGCAACTTACACTTTAACACCAATGACTTCACTTGGACATGGAGCCTTTTGACTTGTAAGTACTTGAAACCTTCCCCAAGGCCCAAATATAAAAAAGTATATTTTGTTTGCTGTACAGTAGTATGAGGAAAAATAGACTCCCCTATATGAAGTATGAACCTGGAAAAATGGATTAAATGGCTTCTTCAATATATTAATACTTGGCTCATGTGCCAGTGAACAGTCAGTAAACTTTGCTGATCTATATTAGATGGACATTGAGAGTAAGAGTTTTTAAGCCAAGAAAAAAACTCACAAATCTGTAAAACCCCCACTGCTTGTTGCAGATCTCATACATTTACACCATACAAGATATATTAATCACTGAGTGAATTGGCGGAACTGCACAACAGTCGTGCACGTCCCCCATTGGTTGACGACAGTAAAAACAGATGACGCAACACGGAAGTAAACGTTTCTTGTGTTGAGGTTTGGTTTCACCACCAGTGAGGTTTAATGTAACGCGGATACTTCCATTTCAATAACTCTAGTAAGTCGCTGAGAGAAACAGCGGCTGTCGGAGCTCCTGAGGAAATACACAGCAACGAAATGAAACAGTTTATTACGGTTGTGTTGCAGTTTTTGTTGGTGGGGCTCACAGTGAGTTGGGATGACGGTAGGTTTTGCTTTCTTCCACAGCTTAAGTATCTTTAATGTTACCACTTATTTGAATTCATATTTGAGTTACAGTGTTTTTAAAGACAGCCGCCATGTTTAGGAAACGTTACAACAGTGACCTACGGCGACCAAATAGACACAACCACGACTTCCACCCACAGCCTCTAACGTTAACATGTTCAGCGAAATTTGAAACTAAATTAAATAATATATGCCAATTCAAATCACGTTACATAAGTTATTTTTAATGCTAACAGTCTTTTTAACGCAGCATAGTAGAAACAGCCGACGCCTGTCCGGATGTCCGTATAACACAGAGCTGCTAAAACTGGTATTTAAGTTACGTTAGTCTCGAGTTTAAGGTGTAATGTGACCTAGTTTGTATCAGTGACCCTTGAGCTCATAAAAGAGTCAAGTTATTCCTGTTATGTCCTGCTAGTCTAACTTACATTTTATCTGCCCGTATCTTTACATACATTCAGTACAGCACATTGATACGTGCGTCACAGAGTTATTGTAGGTTTTATTTCGTTTTTCCTTTTGTTTTTTTCAGTGTAGTTTTTTTATTGTTTAAACGTTGTAGTGTCAGTGTTAGTTTTAGTAGTTGTACTGTAATAGGGGAGTGTTTGTCAGGGGAAGGGTTGAAGACGTTGACAAATTTGACCAAATTTACAAAAGCCTACAAACACATTTCCTGTATATTTTTCATTTGTGAGTACACAATCAGTCATTTTTTAATTTTTTATATCAGTTCGCAAAAATATTTTCTCACCCCTAGTTTTAGTTTTTAGTTTAGTTTTAGTTAATGATAATAACCATGGTCTGTCGTGGTTATCTCAAAGAACAAAATCAACAAAAATCTGCAATTCAAAGTAAGAAATGTTCTATTATAATGCTATTTAGCAGCACCAGTACACCACTTTATTGCAGGACTGTTGTGTGTATGTATGCATGCATCCACCCATCGTGTTCACTGATCAAAATAACTGAAGCTCCATTCTCTCAAAAAGTTGCTGCCTTTATGTTTAACTTGGCATTACGAGCTTCTATATGTTTGCAAAGTGGCTCCTACTCCTACCTCTTTTTCGTCCCCCGACTGCAGGCAGTGTGCTGCTGCGGGACGTCCAGGTGCTGACTCTGTACAAGGGTCGCTACACCACAGCAAGGCGCTCCAGCCCCATCCCTCAGCTCCAGTGTGTCGGAGGCTCAGCAGGCTGCCAGGCCTTCGTCCCAGAGGTGGTCCAGTGTCAGAACAAAGGCTGGGATGGAGTGGATGTACAGGTAAAGGAGGAGGGGGGCACTGGTTGACAGAGAGACGAAGTATATTTGGAGTATAATATTTTGGAGTTGGGCTGCAACTGTTGATTAATCTGAAGATTATTTTCTTGATTAATCGTTTGATTGACAAAATGTCACAATATAGCAAAAAGAGACCATTACAACTTCCCAAAGTCCACATTGATGTTTTCACATTGCTGATTTTATCTAAAACCCCAAAAAACGGCAGTTCCTCTAACAGCCACTTGAGGCTGGCTCCAGCAGTGAGTCAATCTCCATAAGCCCATATTAAAATTGCCGACTTTACAGCAGAATAAAACACTTAACAGCCTGGTACAAAAAAGGTTTTCGTCTCTGTAGCTAATTTCCCTGTTCACAACGACTGTATGGGGGGGTTAATGTAACTCACCTTCATATTAAGGTGACCAGAGCCACCACACCGAGCTTTACACTAGCTCTTCATAATCCTATTGGTGAGCTCACGCCACACACTCACACTTCAACCTTTTTCATGATGCAGTTGGATTTGATGTCAAGTGCTGGGTGTAAGGTCATGTAAAAACAGTGTGTCCATTATAGAGGACTGACAAGTTGATCTTTAAGCCAGGAGGTATGACTGTGACATACATACATAATACTTAATATAACATAGTAGAAGTCAGATGTGCTGATAACAAAGTCCTTGATTTTGGAAACATTTACAAAAAAAAAGTAACGCTCTGATTTTTGCTGTGGAGCCCCACAAAACCAAACCAGGAAGTCAAGACTGAAATAAAAGCGTCTGTATTCACAGTTCAAAACAATCTTTAATGGGCTATTGACAGGATTTACACCAGGTACTCGGGGCCGGGTTTGCAGCATCTCCTGGAGACACTCCAACTGGGAAATAAACAATCCACCGGGTTATTCCTCCTCAATCTAGACTCCAGAGACAGGGCGATGACACAAGGCTACAAGACACTGACTTGTGATGAAATGTGATGGAATGCCAAAAGTAAAGCTGGCATCTGTCCCCCACTGACCAACAGCAGCTCACTAACACATTTCATGGAGTTGATGTCACACAGCGTAGGGTTTTTGGGAGGTTGTGATTGGATTATTGGATGATTGTGGGTGTTAACTGTGGGAAACTCTTAACAGTTCGACAATGATGTAATTCTGACAGCTGGTTGTTACAGCTGTGTGTGTGTGTGTGTGTGTGTGTGTGTGTGTGTAAACGTGAGGAAATCTCAAGCTTGTTTGAATATGAAAACAAAGTTTTGAATGACGTGTTGTCATTTTCCTGCATTCCCCTCGCAGTGGGAGTGTAAGACTGATATGGACAACACGTACCGATTTGGTCGCATTGAGGTGAGCTGTGAGGGCTATGCCCACCCCGCTGACACCTACATACTGAAAGGCTCCTGCGGGCTGGAGTACACACTGGAACTGACTGCAGAGGGCCAGAGGAAGAACCAAGGTAGCTGGGGTTCCAAAAGTGGATTCAATGGATTTGGAGGTAGGACTGTAGAGATTTATAAGGGTTCATCTTCACACCAGGACTAGATATATTCAAAAACATATTTTTTTTGTCTGTCTGTCTCAGATCTTGGTGGCTTTGCCTCCAGTTTCTTCAGCGGTTTCTCTGGAAAAAAGCACCAGCAGAGCCGTCAGAGCTCGCACCCATCCAGCAGCGAAGATTCAGGAAGCCTGCTGGTAGTGGTCGTGCTTCTGCTCTTAGCCTACGGCGTCTACAAGCTGTTCCTCAGCGGGAACACGGCCCAGTGGGGGCAGAACGGCGGGCAGGCTGGTTACCCCAGAGATGATCACCATGGCTCCACCGCAGGACCACCTCCCCCGGGTTTCAAACCGGATTTCACAGGTAGCTGATTCACATTGTGGTTAGAGCAGCAGTGGATGTCTTGTTTGCGCTGCAGAAAACACATCGTCAAAGCAATACAGGGTCGTTAGAAATAGCCGGATACACAGTGGGAAATAAGAGTACAGATACCTTGCTTAAACCTTGAATCCTTTCTTGTTTTGTGCTCAGGGTATTCTGGTGCCAACCCAGGCTACGGTTTCCACAGTAACTACACTCAAGGACAACAGTACCCAGGAGGCCACACTGCTCCTGGCACAGGTGGAGGATTCTGGACCGGCATGGGGACAGGAGGGGTTCTGGGATATCTCTTTGGTCGTCAGAGGTTAGTAAAGAGATGGAGAATCTCAGAGAATGGAGAATGAGTGACAGCAAGAATCCCAGAAAGCAAACTGTGATATCGTTCCCTTTCTATTCCATTCAGAGCCTGCGGGTTATGTGTGCTGTGTGTTTGTTTTTGCAGAAGCCAGCCCCACAACCAATATTACCCCGGCTACACTAACAGCACCCCTTCTTCTACTGGACACACCTCCTCTTCCTCCGGAACACGCACTGCTTCAGGTAGAGGGAATGCATTTTACCCAACAGAGCCCCACACAGATACCTGTGAAACCAGACCGTCAGCCTTTAACCACCTCTGATTCAAACAATTGATCTGATTAGTTATTGATAGGATAAGGATTGATACTGATACTAGTATCGAGTTGACTTCTTCTTGCCTGTTGGTTGTCTAAAGGAAAGCTATGATCAGACATGATGATGATTGTGATTAGGGTGATATTGGGGTGACAGGATGAGAATGGGTGA